TATATGTACATATGTACGCGCGCATACAACGTTTAAAAAAGTGACAACATGCATAATCAAAACGGCGAGCGGCACGTTGCCAACAACGCATGCTTTATCTATCGCTATTTTGCATAAAACGGATATTTATTTGCTTTTATTGTATCGGAAAAACAGCGCAACGTATCTATTTGCACAAAGTTATGAAAGATGCTTTCATTGCGCCGTTAAAAATAACCGCAAACTTTCTAAAAATATTATTGAACGATTCGGGCGACTGATTTTCTGATATGCTAATGATTCAACTGAAATGGATGTCTGTTGCATCCCGCTTGGGCGTGGGCTTCTACTTCTTATTCTCCTTCTTCTTCTTCTTCTTATTCTATTTCTTCTTCTTCTACGATTTTGCTCCAAAACACTGAATGTGTACTTGCCTATATACAAATTTACACTTAGACTCGTATGTATATGTATGTGTTTATGTACGCAAATTTATTCAGGAATTCTATTTGCGCTGCAGATTTAGATAATTAAAAATAATATCCGCCAGCTATATATATGTATATCGATTGGTTTTGCCAGCCAGTAAATGGTGTTTGTAAGAATATTTTGATGTTTTTTTTTTTTTCAAAATTAATTAGATACTTTTACTTGGGGCATCTCTTGGAAGGAGAGCATTAGAGAAGAAAAATAAATTATATACATATAAATATATATATCTGGCGCTTCGTAACCGCTGAAGCCCTTTTTCGGTCGAGCTCCTCCAATTTGTTGTTTTGCGTCTTGATGTTTTTTCAACAAATGGAGAGACCTACAGTTTTTACTAAGCCGCCTCCAAACGGCGGATGGTTTTTTTATGAGGAGCCTTTATTTTATGTCCATAATACATTCAGAGGGGTGGACATTCCCTGCCGAGAGGCGACCTCAATTGGAAAATTTAACTTATTTTTTTATTTAAATTAATTTTCCATAACTTTTGGATGTTGGTGGCACCGGGATATGAGCCCGAGCCTTCCGAATTTCAGTACGCAATACCAACCACTCGGCTACCGCGGCCGCCAAAAATAAATTAGTATAAGAAAAAATTGGTTAGTTTTAAATAACTACGATGAATTCATATTATTAACACCTCCAAGTACCGAAAAACGACGCCTGATAGTTTAGTTTCAAGGAAAACTCAAAAAATATTAACAAAAAAAAACACTTCACATTTTTATTTCTTTTTTTCCTGACGCGTTCACTCAAAACGTTTTTCCAGTAAACCACAGTCGCTAAAACTTGTACTTCCACATACCCGTGCATATATTCATACACATAGATGTATGTGTGAATTCACAAAACATTATGCCAACACGCTGCCACAACACGATTCCTTAACACGTTTGGCCAACACGGGTTGAACACGGGTTGTGTTTTTGACAGATATAAAAGTCCGCTGGCGTTATGCTTGAGTATTTGAGTCAATGGCAAATGACACCCATATCCCATATGAATGTTAAGTTATTTACGAATACCTAGGACTAGGCTCAGTTTTACCCTATCTGGGTTTTGGTATGCATTTTAAATTAAATTTTGAGGCTGATTCTTCAGACAGGAACAGATGATTATCGTTTGTTGCGAGGTATGTGCTGCCAGGTGGATGTGTACGAACCTCCAAACCCAGCTCTCTGAACTTCTGGCGAATAACTGTCCATATGTGTGGTCTGGCTTTGTCGTGTTGAATCAAAATCCCTCTCCTGGTCGAGGGTCCAATTGCTGACAGTACAGGCGGTAGGCGAACAGCTCCCAATATTTGATTCCTGTCCTGATTTATAGACCGTTTGTTCCGTCTCATTACGCTTTGAGTGAAAACAAACATAAATCGAGTAAGATATCTCAGCACAATCAATATCGAAGTCAGAAAATCAAGAAAACTTTGTTAGTCACTCTCCTTTGTAGTGGAATCATTGGAGTTTAGTCTACTTCAAGTTGCTCCCAAGAAGCAAGACCATTGATTCGAATGTCTTCCGCTATCAAAAATACTAGTTGTCAACTAGAATCCAACAAGTCTACATTTCTACACCAACTTCATCTTCATCCATTTTCCATCTAAGCAACTGGTATTTTTAACACGGCGCTGTCCTACGAGCTGACAATTGTCTTAATATGCATCAGCTTCATACTAGTTTAATACTAGTTCATTTCGGTATGTCGAATTTCTACTTCACAGAACGGAAAAATGTAAATCAACAGAACTTTTTATGAAATGAAACCCAGCCGTTTCATACCAAAAACAACATACGAATGACGTGGAGGTGAAAATTTGTGTTTCACCAAAAATTAAAAATATAAAACCTTAGAATTAATTTTCCTCTACCGAGACTCGAGCCGGGGCTTAACGCACTACAGCGATAACCTCTACTACAGCGATAACCTCTTCAATAGAACCGAGCAGGAAATGGAATTCAGACGCGGACTTCTTTACCAATAACGAACTGGTATGATTTCATCTTCAACATACTAGTATTTAACTAGAATTTTTGCGTACTAGTTGGTTTTCCCCTGCAGGGAACGGCCACATTTGACTGTTCGTTCCATCATAAAACGCCAGACCCTACACCTCTTTGATACTTTAAAAAAAATAACAGAGCTCAATAGGGAACTAACGTCAAATCCAACTTACAGCCCTCAGATTTCGTTCACTCTCGGCAAAATCATTTAGATCGTAATACTTTCGAATCCGAGCGGGCTGTTAAAAATTAGTTGGGCCAGTTTACCTATTGCGGAAGCAAAAGCTTATTTGAACGTGAAACCATGCAACTTACCAAAGGCAAACAGTGCAAAGTCGGGCAATAACTCAATTTGCAAGTTTTAAGAAGTAGAGTTGCTCTCTTTCCTCTACACTAAACTAAAGAAGAAGAAAACGAGAAGTTGAGCTGGTTGTTATGTTAACCATAAAAATCACCATTTCCCCACATCCGGCAAGAGTGGGGAGGCCAATAAGTTTAAGAGTAAGAGTATAAGGAGAAAGATTATATTGAGATGCAATGAGATGTGGTCAAGCTTCTGGGTATGCAGTTACAGTTACGTGAGCAAATCTTGTGCAAAATGCGGAAACCAACCCGTATGGAGCGTTAGATGACGACTTAAAGAGAGGAAGCTCACTTATCCGGCTTAAGGGAGCGCTCAAGTCTAATTGCAGCATCTGTTCACCAGAAATTCGGCTACGAGCGAACCTTGGAGCTGATGCAAGCAGCCCGCTGTATAAATGTGCGTAAAATTTAAACCAACGAGGTTGCGCGCTGGGTTTGGGAACCGACACTTAGAAGCATCAGTAAACGGAATTTATAGATTATATGTGGTTTTACTACTGGTAACTCAGTTATTGTCCAAATATTCGCTTGGAGCTCCAAATCTTGGAAAAGGCACGAGAAAAAAGGATCGACGCACAGCACCTCGCCGTCGTTTTTCAAGCAGATAAAGCAGCTGCTTCTCTCTCTCTTTATCTGAATTTGGTATCCCCGCAAAACTTACGCGCCTGTGTAAACTGAAGCTGGATATCACCAAAAGTTCCGTCAGAATCATAGAGAACTTCATCGAGCCGTTTCGAGTAATACTTTGATCAATAAAATGGTGAACCTATCCCAAATCCCAGAAGAAATATAATTTATAAATAGTGAAAACAGAAATGGTCCCGAATGACTAGCATACGACGCGTTAATATCATTTAGAAGTCATCAGTTTTGAGCTGAGTAGGCGAATATTGTTCATTTGCTTGTGAAGGAAATTCAAATAAACTCTTACCAACGCCAAGCACACACGGACTAAGCATCACATGGACTAAGCAACGTCAGAAGTCGAGCAATGGGAACACACAAACGGCACACACGCTGGGCTGGGAAACTTTATTGCTTATGATCAATCCAGGTACTTCCTAACTGGTAATTGTTGTAAAAGACTAAAAATTCCAAAATGACGCACGAAACTCACGTGCAGCGGCTGACTAAAACAAATGAAACTACACTGAAGCGAAGCTGTGAATAAATCACATTGACCACGCACCATCAAAGTTCGCCGGATGAAATTTAAAAACAAATAGCGCAAGCAAAAGTCACGTTGAACGGACTTGAAAGTGTGAAAACCAACGACAATCAACTCAGACAAAAGAATGTCTGCTTGCTGTCACAAGTACCAAGTTAAGGTACGTTTGTTTGGCTGTTAAGCACAGAATTGTTATTGCACCGTCGGCTCTTGGACGAATGCACTTCCGCTTGGTCGCGTGTAAGTTGAAATGATTGCCACAACTCTGCTGTCATGTTAGGTCCATGCGAATGCAGGAACACCTCAGCACAAATATGCAGCGCAACAGAAAACACGCGTCTTCAACGGCTGACCCGGTTATATGCAAGTAAGCGATACTGCGACCACGCTTTAAAAAAAAAATAACATTTTTTCCCTTAAATATGGGCTTGGCATGGTACAAGATGAAGTTTGCAGTTGGCATTTTTGAAAAGTTCACGTTACGCGCACAAACCCGCTTTGCTAATGCCTAATGGTATGAGAACGAGCAACAACGGACTTGCATCTACAACAAACACTCCTAGTACAATACAACACGATCCTTAAATATGAAATTTTCCGAACACGACGCCGATGCCAGCGACAAAAGCATATGTGAGCGCAAACTTCACGAACACTTGTTGCTTTGTCTGAAAGCTCGTTGGTCGCTCGTCTCGGTCGCCTATCGTCTGCTATAGACGAAACGCGAACGCTTCCGAAAAATTATCTGTGCACACATTTTTATTCAAGAGTGTGTGTGCTTGTGCATTGTATTTGTCATTTTGCCTGACTGGCTAGCGGGCTATGTTAGGTGGCTTGGTGGCACCGAAGGTTGTATACGACGCAAATAAGCTTCGCACTAGCGACGGCCATCGTATCAAAGTGGCGGTAATAAGGACCAACACGAATGCGTCCCTGAGGTCTAGCGTATAAAAAGGCTGGCCATAGCTGGTAGCGGGCATATGTTCAACGCGCTTCGAAGCCGAAACATCTCAGTTGAAATCACGGTATATACTCAAAGATACTCAAAGTGTAAAGCGTAAAAACCTTTGAAATTTGAAAAAAAAATATATTAAATAAATGTGTGCCAACTATTGCTGAGAGAATAAAAGAACTCAAAAATTGCAAGTGTCAAGAATAATTTGTGTTAAGCAAAGAGACTATTGAAGCACACTTTTGCAAATACAAAAGAAAACTACTTAAAAGAAAACGAAAGCAAGTGTGACACTAAAAGTGTTTATTAAAAACCAAAAAGAACTGTTTTACAAACTGTTTGAAAACCGTTAAAAAAAATTAAAAAACTCTAAACCACTCAAAATGGATAACTCAACGCCGAAGAATCTCAACAAACCTTCGCCAGCATTTACCAACTCCACATCCGTCTCGCCAATGGCAGCCGCAAAAAACACTTCCGCTTCTTACTCTTCAAAATCATCGTCGAGCGACAGTAAAATGTCCAAAGCAAAACTCACGCGCGACCAAAAAATATCACGTGGTTTCCTTAATTGCATCGGCAAGCATTTGGGCTGCTCTTTTCTACAGCAAAACCCTCGTCAAATACCCCAGCAGCAGCTGCAGCATTATATTTACAACAGTCAAGATGATTTGCCCAGCTCCTCGACAGATTCCTTCTCGCTTAGCTATGAACGCGGCTCGCATACTGGTTTCCATCTTACCGGCTCCAGCATTGATTTGACTTGCAGCGACCTGAATGATTTCACACAACAACCGAAAACAACGCAGAAGCATCACCAGCAACAATTTCAGCACGCATCACGGAACACATTGTCCTCCTCGGCGTGTAGCGGCTCCTCATATTCGCCAGCTTTCTGTTCTTTTGACGTTGATTGTCTGGTGGATATTTATAATGGTGTTGACGATGACAACGACGACGATGACGACGACGAAGACGGTGCTGCAGATGCCTGTGCCTCACTCAAAATGTATCATTGCCAAGAGCACAATACGTCCGACAATAATGTGGCGCATAGCTGCAGCTCCGGTAATAATACCGATACAAATAGCAGCGATGAGGATGATGAATGCTCCACACATGAGGAATGCTGTGAGCAAAAGCAAAAGCGTAAAAATATGAAACATGAATCGCAGCAACATCAACACCAGCAACAACACCAACAACAGCAACAGCATGACCACCAACAGAAACAGAACAACGCATCACATAGGCGTTTGCATCTGAGTCGCCTATCGATCGCCTCCTCCGTCACACGCATGTTGAGCCACTTTGCCAGCAGCTCGTCGATGAGGTCGTTGTCATGCAGCAGCACACCGCTGCGCTGTTTCAAGGATGCCAAACCGAAGGAAGCTGATGACGCAATTGTGCACTTGAATGACAGGAATGAAAATGAGGCCAATCACAGCTATAACAAGCACAAGAAGCATAGTTTGCCGAACACATCATCATCCTCGGCGTCGTCCTCCAGTGGCAGCCGCAGCAGCAGCAGTGGGAGCAGCAGCAGCGGTAGCGGTTCGTTAGGCAATGCCAAAAATAATAATAATAATACCCACAGCAGCAGTGTTAACGGTAAAAAGAAGGAAAAGAAGCAGCAGAGCATCTTGCGGCCGCCAGTGCATTACGTCTACATGAAGGGCATGTCCGGTCTGTATTCGCGTGTACCGCGCTACAATGTCTGCTCGCCATACGCGATGCATTAAGCGGTCGAACGGCGGCGGACGAACGCATTGCGGAGATATACGAAAGACATGAAATATCTATGTATAAAAACGCAGACGTATCGATAAAGAGGCTGACTATCTAAGTATTATAGTTTTAGAGATTTACAGATGCGGAGGAGTCGAACTTATTTTCCACAAAAACAATAAAAGACTTGTAACAAGTAATAACGGTTAAAAACGTATAAAAATGCATATAAGATTATTATAATGAATTAAATATAAGTAGCTAAATGTAAGATCGAAGGGTTAAGGTCTGGGTTAAGTTAAAGACATAATATAATAATGGAAATTGCAGTGCCTCGAGTTTAATGATCCGAAATGTTATGAACAAAAAAACAGAAAAATGAAAAAAAACTATGTAAGCTACAAAAAAAAAATCAAAGCAAAAATACGGTATTGTATATGGTAGTGTATAAAAAACTTAAACTGTGTTAGAGATCTAGTCTAATAAATGTAAGACATTTCGAAAACTATTCCATTCAGTAGGAAATAAAACTATAATTTACAATTTTGAAAAAAGCACTGAAAAGTTCAAACATTTCTTCCATTATTGCAAGGATTCAACTATCAAATAGTTAAAAAAAAAAAATAAAAGAAAACAATGTAAATTTCATTATTCTAAAAGAAAAAAATTTAATTATATTTAATTAATTATTTATTAAAATCCTAACTTAGACAAATTTTTAGTATAAGTATTATTGAATAATTACGTAATTATTTTTGGCAACTACACAATACATATATTTAAATAAAAGCTATTTTTCTGAAAAATACTTCAATATTTTGTATTTTACTGCTAATTTATTAGATTATTTTTTTCAACTTGAAAAAGCGTCGAGAGGGCACTACAGTTATGGCGAAAAGCAATGGCTGATAAAATCAGTTTCAAACGAATCGATGTACTTTCTGCAAAACGGTTATTTACACGTACATCTGGCAAATGAAAACAACTCCTTCGCAAAATTTTCTAATCCTCTCACCAACATCCGCTCTAAGTTGGAAAGCAAATCAAACAGTGAAACACCATAGAAGTTAAGAAGCGTAGAGGACCGTAAACCTAACGCAAACTCAGTCCAATGTAGTACCTATTGGCAAGAGTGATTATGCATTGGATTTCCTGGCTTATATTGTTGTTGGTGGTTCCAAGATAGATGAAGTTACCTACCACTTCAAAGTTATGACTGTTAACAGTGACGTGGGATCTGTGTCGCGAATGTGATGATTGTTTGTGTGATAACAGAGATGTTTTATCTTGCCCTAGTTCATTTCCAGACCCACATCCTTCGTTTCCTTATCCAGTCTATAGAAAGCTGAACTTACGGCGCGGTGGTTGTGGTCAATAATGGCAATATCATCGGCCTAATGTTTTTTCCACCGTCATAGATTGGCATTTCATTTTTTTGTAGAATTTTCAAGCAAAGATGTGGGCCAGCTTCTCAAGCTCCTCATACTCCCACATTTCGGCTTTTTTCTTTTTTAACCTGCGAATGCCTCCCTTTTCTGGTCTCGGTAAATATCCTACTCCGCACATATTGTGGTGAATCGCTGTTTTTGCGGTCTTTTCGAAGTCCAAGAATTTTGATTGAAGCTGTACGTAGGGAGAGTGAAATTGCCGTTCAAAAGTTCCCTTCTAGCAAGTTGCTGATGTGTTCTCTCAGAAAGCAGGTATACAATTCGAGTAGAAAAACTTTCGACAGTCTGTTGTGATTGCAGCTTTTCGACGTCGAACATTCTTTTGACCGGCGTTCTTTGGTACACATAGGCGGGTGCTTATCTTTGCTGCAAAAACATTGTGGTCCGAATCGATGTATGGTCCTCGGAGTGTACGCACCTCCAGAACTCTGAAGACATGCCTTCCGTCTATCATAAAATTATCGAATTGAATTTGAGTTTTTCCATCCGGGGGCAGCCAAGTAGCTTGATGTATTTCCTTGCGCTGAATTATAGCAATTCAGACAATCATTTTTCGGGTTCTGTCGATGTCGAACACATTAGGGGATGTTTCATTGGGAAGGCAAAATTTTCCGACAGTTGTACCAAGGATACCCTCCTTGCCCACCCTGGCGTTAAAATCTTACCATCGTGGCTGGGCGAGCACCCATAAATATGCTCCAGCCGCGCTCATAAAAGTTTATATTATTTTAATTTATGCCTTTCAAATTTATTTTGCTTGCTTTGTTTTATTCTGTTTTATTTTAATTTACTATATTTTATTTTATTTTATTTTATTTGATTTTATTTTATCTACCGTTATTTTATTCTAATTTATTTTATTTCAATTTATTCAATTTTTTTTTATTTTATTTAAATTTACTTATTTTATTTTATTTTATTTGAATTTAATTCATTTCAATGTAATATAATATATTTTATTTTATATTATATCAATAAATTTTATTATATTAACTTATTTTTTTATTTTATTTTATTTCATTTTTTTTTACTTTATTTTATTTTGTTTTATTTCATTTTATTCAATTCAATTTAATTTAACTTTATTTTAATTTATTTATTTTATTTTATTTTATTTTATTTTATTTTATTTTATTTTATTTTATTTTATTTTATTTTATTTTATTTTATTTTATTTTATTTTATTTTACTTAATTTTTTTTATTTTATTTCATTTTATATTATTTCACAAACTTTTTACAAATTTTCTTATAAAGGTATGCATCTGTTCATTTTGGCTTCTGAGGAATTAGTTGAGCTCCCTTTTTAACAACAACATTTTAGCAAATAAAAAAGCTCTTCGTTACAATAGTCTTGGGACCGAAATGTTTGAATTTTCCTCATAATTCAGCTGCTTCTCTTTCTCTCGCTACGGCACTCATGTGCGCTGAAGTCTTCCCAAGGCATGCGTATTATACAGCTTAATTTTGTTGTGAGAACAGTTTTAGCCTAAATAGAGTACATACATAAATACGTCATCAAAAACAACAACAACAGCTGCATTTTAGTTTATATGACGAAACACACCTCTTCCAAACACATTGTCGCGAAATTTAAGTAGTTCACACGATGTGCAATATATACGTCCTTATATGCATATGTATAAAGATGTGTACGCATATGACTGCAATACTGCCCTCCGAATGCAATGCACTTCTGAAGGACATGCAATCGACCTTATTTACCTTTTTCGATCCATTCTTGCCAAAGATAGCGTATGACGACAAAATTATCCTTACCACCGGAATGACAACTATTTTGGAGTACAATTGCGAACTTAGATAGTTTTACTTAGTTTAGGTGCTATAGAATTTGAATATTGCCCAGGCCGGCTGAATGCATGCTATGTACAATATATGTATAAAAGGAAATTTCGAAGGTTTTTCTATATTTACCACGACACTTTCATTGTGTTTCGCTTATATGACCAACATACATACAATCCATTACTACCTATATATAATATGTAGATATATGTATAATATGTATGTTTGTATACATAAGAGAAGTCACGTATGTATGTGCTATGTGTCTGTGGTTTGTTGCCGTTTGAGGCTGAAAATAGCAACAATAACCTTTGCTGCACTGCTATTTAAAATGAATGCCAAATTCGAAAACAGCTTCTAAGGTCCTCTCTGACGTAGCTTTGGCGTAGCTTTTTAGTATGTCAGTGAGTCGAAAAACTTTTATAAACCGCTTTATAAAATGTTTGTATGTTACGAATGCGTGCATTTGGGAATTTCGGTGTTTTTGTGCGGATAACGGTAAAGTAAATGCAGTAATTTGATTGTTTTGCAATGATCAAACAAAATTACATTTTTCCATATTAGCATCGATTTAGTTTTTGGATAACCTAATTCAATATAGAAATAACGATATTCGCACTTGTTCTTAAGCTGTAAGGTATTTGTGTGTTACGTATACGTAGTGGTGCACGTTAACCAACGGTTTGTTTGTGCCGTAATCTGCTGCTATCGGCAACACTATTTCCAGTCCCAGCGATGTTTATCACTCTCACCCGGTTAGAGTTTGTTATGCGTTCTGGACACTCATAGAAAGCATCTTGGGGGTCGCGGGTGAACACAAATCAGCGATATATTGTAGAGCTTCGTTTTGATACAGATTGCGTAGCGATGTTAGCCACTGGCGTGAATGTCCTAGGACCAGGCTTTCAAATCCAGCACCGAAATAGCGCTTCTTATATGTCATATGTAAAAGATCTTAAAAGGACCCACCTTTTTTCGTCCTTGCTCTGTCCAGCGCACTTGCCAGAGAGTCTCTCGTCGGTCGACCTCGCTGATTGGAATACATTTACATAGCAAGCCGATTGCTCACAGAACTGGGAACTTGGAACTACACCTCTGCAGAACACTTGCTGCATAAAGACTCCAGTGAGCCCTTAAGCCTTAGTAATCACTTTATATGCTTAATTTTATTTTCCAAAATCCAATTACAAAAATTGTGTATTCTGACTTAAAAAGGCAAAGAAATTACACTTATTTTCTACTTTGAATTCCACAAAATTTCTTCATTGTAACAACAAAGAGATTATTACAACCATTTTGAAACGAATACCGCGTGGAGGCCATGGCTTATAAACTCATCATTGTCTGTGCGATTGAACCGTTATATTGTATTTTATTACACTTTGTATATCTGGTTGATTTTCTACAAACAAGAAATCAACACTTACCAAAAATAGAGTACTAAAACCGCTACAAGAGCAAAATTCGCCCAGGATTAAGGTGTAAAATTAATTTGTTATTATTAATAATATTGGCGTTGGTTTTACAAATAAGCTCTACATATGCACACGTCTTCACTGTCACATGTGCATATATTTTTGTTTTCAAATTATCAGTTAACAGGAATCGATAGCCGCGGTTCATTGGCAAATGCCATATGATCATATGATGATGATTCATTGATCTCATTAGAAAGCCTCGGTCACTAGCCTTTCCTTAAACTTTTAGCCGCATGCATTATTTCATTAAACATGCTTATACGAGGGGAATAACATAAGTTCGACAAATTGACTCGAAAATAATTCTTTTTGTATTTATTAGTAATCTTTGTCCTTTTATATCTTCTCTACATAATCGCCATTGATTGCAATGCATTTCTTAAACCTATACATTCACTTCTGAAAACAGTCTTCAAAATCATGCTTTTTAAGATCATCAAGGTCAGCGTTAACCAGAAATCACAAGGTGCTATATCCGGGGATTATGCTGCTGGATGTATTTTTTCGATCACAGAGAACGCAATGAAATTACTCGTTATTTCAGCAGTGTGGAATGGCGCGTTGTCGCGATGTAAAAAGGAGCACCACAAATCCCCTTTCTTTCTGTTTTCCAACAAGTTTTCGAAAACTTTTGGTAAGCACTCTTCTATGTACCATTTTGCAGTTACCTTCTGACTCTTTTCCAGTTGAATAGCAGCTACGATTTTAGATCGGCTGTAGTAAACTGGTTTCATTACTTTCGCTGGTGATTCCTATTGGCCTCCATACCATGGACTGCTGTTTAGTTTCTGAATCGTACTTATACAACCATGATTCGTTACCAGTATCCAGTTGCTAGACTGGCCACTTTCGAGTTTGCTTAGGAAAAAATCAGCAAAATGTATTCGGTCTTC